GGAGAGAGCTGTGGCGTTTCCCTACTTCCCCGTCGCCATCTTGGTCCCCCCTCCTGATTTTGTTTTTTAGTTCAAAAGCTATGACATGTAGGCTTGTTCTAGCATTTTACTAGCATAGCACCACCTCAGTGTCTTGACTAATGTCATTATACTATTATTTGTAATTGGGGGATTATGTAAGAGAGCTGTCCCAGGAAGGCCTTCTGCACGGAGGTAAAACTGCCTATTGAGGAGTTTGTCCACACCTCCATGTCTAGGACTTTAAGTTTCTTCAGCTTTGGGCACTGTGTAGCATGGTCTGGAGAGAGCATCCATCAGGACTTTATACCCAGCTTCCTTCATGCAATATTGTGTCTGAGAAAGACCGTGCACACAGCATGTACCATGGGAAGATTCTGACCATAACACAATGCTGGTTAACTTACTTCCAGAGAATGGAGGAACACAACTAAGCTTATCTCAGAAGGGATTATGGCTGGATGCTGGTGGCTCATACTGTATTCCTATCCACTTAGGAGGCTGAGATCTGAGAACTGCTGTTCAAAGACAGCCTAAGCAGGAAACTCTGTCAGCCCTTATCTCCAGTTAATCACCAAAAAGCTGGAAGTGGAGCTGTGGCTCAAGTTGTAGAGGGTCAGAGCTTTGAACATAAAAGCTAAAGGAGGGTACTCAGGTCCTAAGTGCAAACCCAGAAGTCTGGAGTCTTTGGTAAGTACAGGATCTACTGTTGTTCCTTTGGGGACATGTGAAGAAAATTGAGATCAGCCAGCACAACACACAACCTTGCTGTCTGTGACAGAATCCAGATGGAGAGAGGAGCAGTAAGGTGTGATCTGGGCTACTGCTGGAATACAGAAGCTGGTGGTGCGTGAGCTGCAAAGAATGACATTGCCACATTTGTTACGAAATGGAAAGACTTGGAAAAAAATTATATTAAGTAAGCCAAGCCCAAAGAAACATAGGTCCCATGGTTTCCCTTATTTGCAATAACTAGTGTATGTCTGAGACAAGCAGAAAAGGTCAAATAAGTTGATGTTAGGTGAAATGAACCCCAAGATATGTATTGAAATATTTTTTCCTTTCATGCAATTGTTTCTTACATATTTATAAGATGATTTCTTTGTTGCCTTGTATGTCCCTCCCCTACAGTATAACCCCTGCTTTCACTGTATTTGATGTTGGTATAATTTGTGGAGGGGAAGGGCAAAAACAAACTGTTTAAATAGGGATACAGGTGGACCCATTGCACCAATGAGATATACAAGTCGTTATGTCGATAAATGAACTTTATGACTTTGGCAGTGTGGGGGGGGGGGCAGGGGTGGGATGGGGAGATGGGAAGGGATGGGAACGGGAAACAAAGGAGGGGGCAACAATCCTTGATAAGAAATGTACTCATTACCTTGCCCATGTAATTGTAACCCCTCTCTACGGTATTTTCACACACACAAAAAAAGACTAACCATAGGAATGCAGGAAACAATATTTTTTTTGGAAACAATATATTTTTTTTAAACTGTTTTTGACTCTACAGCTGCTCTTTCCAGGAACTTGACCTACCTCTTCATTTTCCATTATCTGGGGTTGTGTTTCTCAACCCTTTGTCTATCTGGCAGTCGTTAGGGGTATAATTGCAGTTTTGATGGTGAGTTTTCTGAGAACTTTAATAAAAACGGTTTTTTTTCCGACAAGTGTTTGTCCCTTAAGTGGCTAACTTGTGTTCTTCCTTAACACCGGCTGGCACCAGGTCCAGTTATTCCTCCTTCCCTGTAAAGGGTTGTAATTGGGAACTTTTATGGCCCATGGCCAATATGTGTTCTCCTATGTCATTCATCTTAACTGACCTTGTCACCTTGTCAGCTTTTTGCCTGATCTTTCCAAAAGTCAAAGCCATCCTGTTCCTACAGGCAACCAGAGACATCACTTACATTGCTCTGTCTTGCCCAGAACACTAAAAGATCTCCTCTTCAGGGATTCCTTGATGCCCCCAGTCCAGCAGGAAGTTGCCAAAAGAGCCCAAGACACCCGTTGGCTCTGGTACCTTTAACTATTTCTGCCACCCCTTCCTCATATTACTTTGATCCGAAAGAGGAAAAGTATTATACTCCCCTCCTCCAGGATGCCTGGAGTCATGCTGTCTCCAATCTGAGATAGAAAAGGCAATTTCAGGTCTTTGATAGCCCCTTCTGGAAATCAATCCCTCCATGGCATATTCCTCTCTTGGGGTACTAACAACAGTTTCTGCCTTTTATTAATTGTATCTTACATTTTAGATAACTATTGCCATGGAAAAAGGAGGACCTTTACCAACCAAACTGTCAAGCGGATGCTTCTTGGCTGGTACCTGGCCAAGCATCAAAGCAGAGACCCCCTGACTACTTCACCCTTTTACAGTAGAAGTAGCTCCAGAAGAAATGACCTCTGCCCATACCCCTTGGCCTGGTACCCCCTATTTTTATTAAACAACAGAATGGGAAATGTAAGCAATATGCCCACCTTTGGTCCTCAGCTCCACCCAAAAACCTGAGCTTCTCCCTGCCCTGGAGTTCCCACCATACAGGTGGCCCTTCCCTCTCTCCACCCATACCCACCTGAACTCATCTACCTCACTTCTTATCTCCCAGACCCTCCTGCTACCTGGATGGGGACAGTGACCATGTGCTCCCTCTTGGGGGAAATATGGCTCCTCTAATAAATCTTATAATAATCTTTCTCCTGTGCCTGCCTGCCTCTGTGTGGTCTCTTGGGATGGATGTGTAGGATCCTCCTTCAGACACAAAGTTATGTACAGCAAAGTTAAATGTCAGCAAGCTGACAGGCTGCCCCTGTTGGGTAGAATGCAGCAGCCTGTCTGTGTGTAGGGAAGTGTCTTATAAGACCAGGGACCTCAAGGTGGGGAATATTCTGCAATTGCAGTTGGACACAGAAGACAGCAGGTAGCCAGGGTGGGTCAGGCCTGGGTGGACAACATTCCACCGGTGCAGCTGGAAGCTAGAGATGCATGTAGTTTTGGGACTGGGGTGGGGGTTAACAAATGTGGCCAGGCCTGGTCTAGCTACCTGATTTCAGGGAAAGGATTGAGGACATAAAATAGAGGCTTCCAAGCCAAAATGGAGGAGGACATGCTAACACTTCCACTTAGCCACTCCTTGGTCAGTGCTGACCTAGGACAGGTCAGGGGTAAAACTGAACTGAGCAAGAAGCTACAGAGGAGGGAGCTAAGTCAGACATTCCATCTTCAGGTTGCCTTATCACTTCACACTGGGTTTCAGAAGTGACTCTCCCTTTCTCTCTCTCACTGGTCTCAGACACTGAAAGAATTTGGGTAGATGCATTTAATAACTGTTTCTGAGCTTGGCACTAGTGGCTCACATCTATAATCCTAGCTACTTAGGAGGCTGAGATCTGAGGTTCAAAGCCAGCCAGGGAAGGAAAGCACATGAGAAACACTTACCTCCAATGAACTTCCAAAAAGTCAGAAGTGGAGCTGTGGTTTAAATGGTAGCATGCTGTGAAGTGAGGAGGCCAAGTAACTTCTTGCAGCCACCCTGGTGGCTCTTGCTGGGTGGAGGGAATTCTTTACCCAGTGCTAAAATGCCTAGAGGTGAGAGAGGCCATCCATTGAATTGCAGATGCCTAGCTCAAGGTGAGCTAGGAGAACTCTGCTTCAGAGAAATGCAAATATCATAGCCTTAGGAAAGCTTTGCATAGAGGCTGCTCTGATTCTGCCTTAATTACCTCCTTAAATGGCTTGAAGCACCTGCCTCTGAATAGCCTTTAAGTTTATCCCTATCTGGAAGATTGAGTTGTTTCTTGCCTAGATGGAAAAGTTCTGCTGTGCCGAGTTTGTATCTGAGTATGTCTATATAAGGCCTGCTTTTGTTAAGGCTCTAGCATGGTTCAGGGCTGCTGGTCTTTGAGACAGGAGTGCACCGTGTAGTCTCCAGCCTTTTAATAAAGACACTGGATTTGACTTCTCAGAATATGACTTCTCTGTTTTCTCACCATACAACACTAGCCTTGAGGAACAAACAAAAACACAAAAAGTTCCAGGACAGCATGCAAGCCATGATTTCAAGCCCCAGGACCAGCACAAACAAGTACTAATTCTTAGTCTTGTGTCAGAAAGTACATCTGAGGTATGGCACAGTGCTAAAGTACTAGCCAAGCAAGTTCCAAGGTCCTGAGTTCAAACACCAGAACAACCAAAACAGAGGAACTATAATTTCCTCAGGCCACCATTAAATGCAATGGTGTTGCTGCACCTAATGGTAGGAATTGAGACCCCCCACCCCCACCCCACCCCACCCCACCACAGGGATGATCCTCCTCACTCAGCTGCTCTAGGCACAGTTGATCACTTCTTCCTCCTGGATGACAGTCCTGGGATAGACTTCTTTTAAAGCACTGTGAGATCAGTCTTCTACTTGCATTCAGACAGTCAATGCATCACGGAATACCATCACAGATTTTGGGAATAAAGAATGCTGTGTGAACTTGAGGATACATCCTGTAACCTAGACAAAATAAGGAGCAACTGCTGGCATGCATAGCCTGTGGTTCCTTATGTGGCCTCCAGGGGGCAGTGCTGCCTACCCCAGAAAACTTTTATCGTTAAAGCTATCTGCTCAGCTTTTCCTTCTTGCAGCTGGCAGAGTTCTTTTCATTTAGATAAGAATAAGGGGCGGGGGGGGGGGCGGTGAGGGGGGAACCCTCCAGGCTCATTGCAACAGTTTTGTGTTTGTGTCCAGCAAACTTTCAACACACCTCCCTTTGCCAAGCTCTTGCTTTCTATAGCCACTGGCCCTTCAAGAACACAACATCTTGACTGCTCAGTCAAGCTTCTTGTGCTCCTTTCAGCACTAGGGATGCATTCCCCCCCCCCCCCCCCCCCCCAATGAGTACATTTCCTGTTGTCTCCAACCCTCAGGGTCTAATTATGTATGCTTAAGTTCCATTGTCAAGTTTGTGATGATTTAAAGACCTGTCTGATTTTCCAGGAGATGCTACAGCCCAGTTGGTGACCCAGCCTGATGTTCACATCACTGTCTCAGAAGGAAATTTTCTGGAGCTGAGGTGCAACCATTTCTATGGTGCGGCAGTTTTCCTCTTCTGGTACATCCAGTATCCCAGTCAGGGCCTGCAGCTTCTTCTCAAGTATAGTTTAGGAGACCCTCTGGTTCAAGGCCTCAAAGGCATTGAGGCTGAATTGAAGAGGAGTGACTCTTCCTTCCACCTGAGGAAATACTCGGTGTATGTGAGTGACTCACCTGAATACTTTTGTGCCTTGAGTGTCACAGTGCCTGGGACTGTAAGAGCAGCTGAACAAAAACCAGCCACCTAGAGGACATTCCAGAAGCTCAAGTCTCTCTGTGGTGTTTTGAACACTTGCTTTGTAATGGGCAATGAGGAAAGGCGGGCTGAGCAGAAACCACTCCCCTTTACAGGATTCTGCAGTTCTTGCTGCAATATCCCACGTCTGGTGAACCTTCTTAGACAATTTAATTTGCACACACTCCATACACCATAGTCTATGTTGAAAAACACTTAATGTAAATTGTGTAATCATAATGCTTTGCTACAATGATTCTTGTTGAGTGAAGATACTCAACAACTTATAGGTCATTGTTCTTACAAGGTTTGAAGCTATAAGTCATGTAATTGTGAATCAAATGCTATAAACAATGATTATTTAAATATGAGAAGTCTTGGTAGGCAACACTAGAACATTCACCAATTTGTTATTTAATATCAAATTTGTTATTTAATAACATTATTTATCACACAATACATATATTTGTAAGTTCATTATATCTACATACATAAATATGTATATTTCCAGTCATCTGAATGTTGTGAAAATAATTAGATATAACTTTGGTGGAATATCAAAGGTAAGAGAATGCTTGTATTTGGGAAACAGACTAGAACATGAATTTAAAAAGTAGAATGTTAGAAGTTGAAATTTTTTTATGTATAGTTATGACTCTAATTGCTTTTCTGTGATTGATTTCATATAATGGAATACTGAAAATAGATCCTATGTTAGTTTTCTAATGGTGCCATAGTAAACTATGGCTGGGTGAATAAACTTAACAGAAGTGTACTTTCTCACTACTAAGGAGCCTGGAAACCATGGTCAAGGAGTCAACAGAATTCATGTCTCCTGAAGCCGCACTTTGACTTACAGATGGCTGCATTATCAATATTATCAATCGGTTCCACATGTTCTTTCTGAGGATATACATGACTGTGCCCATTTAAGACTGGATGTATTTAATAAGAGTCCATTAATTGCCCTTTTATGCCCTATATTCAAATATAGTCACTTTCTCAGATTCTTTTTTTTTTTTTTTTGGGGGTCCAGTCATTGGGCCTGAACTCTGGGCCTGGGCGCTGTCCCTCAGCTCTTCAGCTCAAGGCTAGCGCTCTACCACTTGAGCCACAGCGCCACTTCCGGCTTTTTTCTTTTTTCTTATGTGGTGCTGAGGAATCGAACCCAGGGCCTCATGCATACAAGGCAAGCGCTCTACCACTGAGCCACCTTCCCAAGCCCATTCTCAGATTCTCAGTGTCAATCCTTCAGTATATAAATTTTGGATGGGTGTATGCAGTCTCCATCAGCCCTCCAAGTAAGTAAATGCTATGTTCATAAAGACCCTGGAAGTCTCGTCAGCCCATATGCTATGGGTTTCCAGTGTACATAAGGCTCCTTTTTTTTTTTTTTTTGTAATTCTGATGAAGATTTTTTCCCCATAATCCTTTACAAGGCTTTTTAGGGGAATGAGAACCATGTTATCACAAGTAATTCCTAAATATTCCAAACTGTAGAGCGAAGAATAAAACAATTTAAATTTGTGTTTATACTTGTATTCTTTCTCCTTACCTATACCAGAGTATGAAATGTTCTCATGTTTAGTTTTATCCTTTTGTAAAGACAAATCTTCATTCATTGTTGGCATTTCATCTCTGCACCTTTTTCCTTTCCCAATTTTCTTTTCTATCTGAAGGCACCCTCCCACTCATCTCTGATTGCATCTGTGCCTGAGCTAACTCAACTAAGATGCTGTTCTCCTTTTCCTCACCTACTTTCTGCACTTCTGGTCCTCACTAGAACTGACAGGCTCCAAGGGCTTCTCTTTGAAGGGTACATACAATGTGCTTGGTGTTGAGGGAGGGGTTGAAGAAACAGGCTCAGCTTCCTCGCATTGTGTGGCTAGTTACAAGGACTGAAGTTATAGCTATTATCCACAAGAGGGCACTCCAGGCTTGTCAGTAATTGCATTTTTAATTTTTTTTTTTTTTCAAAATTATTCTTAAAGAATTGTGTGAAGTGGTTTCAATTCAACATGTCAGTTACTGAGTACAGTGCATCTTTTAAAAAAATACTTTTTTATTGTAAAAATAGTGTGCAGAGGGGTTACAGTTACATGAGTAAGGTAATGAGTACATTTCCTATTGAGTATTGTTACCTCCTCCTTTGTTTTTCCTGTACCATCCCTTCCATTCCCACCTCCTCAACTCCTCCTTTCCTCCCCACCACACATTGTAAAATTTGTTTTCAACATAGTATCTTGTACATCTCATTGTTACAGTGAGATTGTTACTGTATTCCTTATTTAAGCATTTTGTGTTTCCCTTACCCTCCCCAAATTAGAAAGGTGTATATATAAGATGCAGGGCACTGAAATCAAATACAGTGAAAACAGGGGTTATACCATGGGGGAAGAACATACTAAAGAAACAAAAAAAAAATCACATAGTACATTATAAGTACATTAAAAACAATAACAAACAAGAAAAAAGCCACTGTGTCTTGGTGTTCATTTCACTTAACATCATTTTATATGGTCATATATACATAGCTTTTGACCTTTCTGCTGTCCTAGACATACACTAGTTATTGCAAATAAGGGAAACCATGGGACATATGTTTCTTTAGGCCTGGCTTACTTCATGTAATATCAACAAAATGTGGTACACACACGCACACACACACACACACACACACACACACACACTGGAATTCTATGCCTCCATCAGAAAGAATGACATTGCCCCATTTGTTAGGAAATGGAAAGACTTGGAAAAATTATATTAAGTACAGTGCATCTTAATCAATTTCACACAGTTCATCATTCTTTCCCATTTCTCCCAATCTAATCCATCCCCTCAATTTATTTAGTTCTAATTTTTAATCAAAATTACAATTTGTAATCTAAACTTTAAATATATTTACATATGTATATAAATACACACAAGTTATTTGCATATATACACAAACTTGTTGACTTGAGTATAGTATATACAGAGAAAGATTCAAACTGTGACCAATATATACTTTGACAAAAATAAATAATAAGAGGCTGGAATATAAGACATGCAAAGGCGGCGGGGTGAGCAAATGCACTCATAATATTCAATGTATATATGTGACTGAAGTGGGTAAGCAAATGCACTCATAATATTCAATGTATATATGTGACTGAAGTGGGTAAGCAAATGCACTCATAATATTCAATGTATATATGTGAAAAGGAAACTAGGAGTGACTTTTTGAAGATTCCAGAGGATTGAATAGTTGAGAGATCAGACAATATGGTGAAGCTCACACACATGTGTAAGTCAGTAATTTTCATGTTAGTTCTTCAGTTCTGTCATTTATTATGAAACCTCAGAATGCTGCCTGAATCTCTATTCATTGGACCCCAGGAGTTTTAAATGAATTGTAAAAATGATTCTGAGTGGAAGTAATGAAGGTGGGATTGTGCTGGGATTATAAACAGGGAGGTGCAGAAGAAAGTGTCTTCATTACAATTTTTTAATTTTTTTTGTGTCCTAGGACTAAATTATGCAAAGTTCACTGACCTGGATATTACTCTAGTAGCATCAATATTTAAGATTTTACATATCTTCTCTAAGACTGGACAAAATAAATAAAAGAAGAAAATGAGGTATAAAAATAGAAAAGTAAGAAGTAGCAGGCTCTACTCAACTTGTTCAGCAATGTATGGCCTGGGCAGAGTTGCTGTATGGCCTGCAGACAGTAGGGGAAAGGTCTGGACAGAAAAGAGGAGAAGAGATGAGGCAATCAGACAGAAAGCTTATGTCTGTCCTATTTTCTCTTAATCCACCAAATAATTTCTGTGCAGTCAGTGTCCTGGTGATTTTACACAACTGTGTTTACATGAAGGCACATTGCATGCTGTCAAAACTGTCCTTTTTCAGGATTTTCATGTGAATTATTTCTCAGCTTCTCTGGCAATCTTGTACTAAAGAAATGGGATTACTATTTCTGTAACTCCTCAAGGCCCTCCCTACTCAACTCAGTTGAGCCAGAGATCCTTCCCTGAGACATCAACCTCCAGCACACTGACTTCCCCATAAGCTTCTCCTAGGTGGACTCTTTCAAGATAAAACCAATCCTTTCCTCCTCACACATTGGAAGCTTTGACTGGGACCCTTACACTGCCCTCACCGCATCTTCGGCAATGAGGCTGGTTTCCTTTTAGATGAAGGGCAGAGCTGAGAGGTGACTGGTTCTGGTGAGTCAGGTGGAACTTGTTGCCTGTGGGAAGAAGAGTGTGTGGGCTGACAACTTGGCTGCCTCCAGAGCAGGGAAATCACCCCAGCAAACAGTCCAGGAGCCATGGGGAGGAGGATGGGGGCTGCGGTGGGACTTCTGCGGGTGTAGATTTGCTGTAAGTTGGGGCCATCACAGGCAGGGTTGGGAGCTCCAGAGATGACAGGGAGGAAGTGGGGACAGCTGACACAAAGCTCCTATGCTGTCCTCCCTGCCCTGGGCATTTCCCGGGGTGTTCTCAGGGGGGGAAGCTGCCTCAGTGATTTCCTTGTAATACCATATGTGCCTGCTGTCCTCTTTCCACGCAGGGCTGGGAGCAGAACCCTTCAGTCCAGAGACTCCAGGACAGAGGCAGCTCCACTCTGAGGTGCAATATCTCTACCACGGTGTACAATGTGCAGTGGTTCGGACAGAATCCTGGCGGCGGCCTCCTCAGCCTGTACTTCATGACTCCAGGGACAAAGCAGAAGGGAAGGCTGCAGTCAACATTGGCTTCTGAGGAACACTACAGCTGCCTGCATATCTCTGCATCTCAGCTGGAAGACTCAGGCACCTACCTATGTGCAGCAGAGGCACAGTGCGCCCAGACACTCTGCAGCCTGGCCCCAAAGTGCAGCTGGGCTGCGCCCCAGCCTCTCTGCCTCAGGGAGGGTGCACAGCAGCATTCCCCAGCTGTGGGTTCCTGATTCACCTTGAATACCATTATTTCTGCTAATGTCTGGAAAGTCATATCACTTGTTTTGTTCCTTTTACCATACAGAGATACTTTTGCAGGAAAAAAGTCCTCATGTAACCAGTATGACAACTGGTAATGTTGTTACAACTCAAACTATTGGGAAAACAAGTCCCATATCAGAGCACATAAATTGAATTGGAATTACTGTGATGGAACATGATTGGCTGAGTGTCCTGTGTCTCACGCCTATAATTCTAGCCACTGAGGAGGCTGAGATCTGAGGATCATGGTTTGAAGCCAGGCAAGTAGGGAAGTTCATTAGAGTCTTATCTATCATAACCACCAAAAAGCAGGAATTGAAGCAGGAGTTTAAGTGGTAGAACACTAGCCTTGAGCAAAAAAGTTGAAGGTCTGGACTAAGGCCTTGACTTCAAGCCCTAGTATGAGCATTATGTGTTTGCAGTGTGTGTGTGTGTACACGCACATGTGTATATGTATGTATGTATAGATTGAAAATTATGATCTAGTGTTTCAGTTTCCACGAACACACACATACACAGATTTATTAAGATTTTTTTCAGACATGGACCTGTAACAGATACACTGAATAAAGAACATTTCTTGTCATCAAGTTTGGGACTCTTTGTAGGTGAACACATACCTGAGCTTATATTGACTATTTCATCACTGCACAGGAAGATACTGAAGATTGAAAAGTGAAATGACTTCTCTGAGCTCTTATTGTTCTAGCTAGGAGCACTGGTCTGATTACCACTCAGGAAACTAGACCTAGTTTTCTCACCCTTGTAAAATACTCCAGAATGTAAATAATACTTTTTGCTAAATTTGTATAATGTG